TTTCGCTTGAATGCTTTCCCACATTGCTTACATACATAAGGTTTCTCTCCAGCGTGAATTTTTTCATGTACTACAAGTTTATCACTTACGCTGAATGCTTTCCCACATTGCTTACATGTGTAGAGTTTCTCCCCATTGTGAATTCTTTCATGACGTTGACAGTGACTATGTGAGCTGAATGATTTCCCACATAGCTTACATGCATAGGGTTTCTCCCCAGTGTGCATTCTTTCATGTACTACAAGGTAACAGCTTTGGCTGAATACTTTTCCACATTGCTTACATGCATAGGGTTTCTCCCCAGTGTGAGTTCTTTCATGTAGTACAAGTTTACCATTTCTTCTGAATGCTTTCCCGCATTGCTTACATGCATAAGGTTTCTGCCCAGTGTGAATTCTTTCATGCACTACAAGGTCACAATTTTGGCTGAATGCTTTCCCACATTGAATACATACATAGGGTTTCTCCCCAGTGTGAATTCTTTCATGTACATGAAGGTTACCTTTTTGGCTGAAGGATTTCCCACATTGCTTACATAAATAGGGTTTCTCCCCAGTGTGTCTTCTATTATGTATTTTATAATCTGTGATTGTACTGAATTTTTTTCCACATTTTGTGCATACATAAGCTTTCTCCCCAGTGTGAGTTTTTTCATGATTCTGACAGACACTGTTCCTGCTGAATGCTTTCCCACATTGCTTACATGCATATTTTTTCTCTCCCATGTGGGATGATCTATGTCTATAAAATGAAGACTTATGAGAAAATTCTTTTCTGCACTGATTACATACATAACGTTTCTCCCCAGTGTGAATTTTTTTATGTTTTGGATAGGAATTACTAACAACTGATGCATTTACACATTTCTTACTTACATGGGGTTTCTCTTCAGCATGTCTTCTTTCAAACTTTTGGGGAAGGTATAAAGAATTAGAACTATTCTCACAGTATTTGTGTACATGTGGACTCCCCGAACTCTGATTATTTTTATGGAACTGAACATCTTTTGGCGTTGTGGGGGCCTTCATAACTTTCTTACCTACAAACACTTTCTGCCCAGTGTGAGTTTGTTCACTAAGATCAGAGATGGCCTCCCCACACTGTCCATATTGATCTGGTGTCTCTCCAGTCTTTCTCATTTTATGTTTCTGAATGGACTGGAAAACACTGCAGTTACTTCCATGTTCATTGCATTTATATATCTTCTCTTCAAATCTCAAATAATTCTCTGTATCATATCTGCAAATGAAAAGAACAATATGATTCACAATTAGAATGTCTCATTATTAACAACTGCCATTTATGATGATGAGTCTTTTTTGATGCTTCCTAAGAAATTTTGATGATGAATTGTCTTATTCACCTAGAGGATACCTTCAAATATATTATTCATTCAAAAAGGATGATTTTCATTTGAGAATTTTATTTAATTTTTTTTTTTATTTTGTCTTTTTTCCAGTACTGGGAATTGTACTCACGACCTTGCGCTTGCCAGGCAGGCGCTGTGCCGCTGAGCTAAATCTCCAGCCCCCTGAGAATTTTAAATTCATGTGTGATTTCAAGACATAATATCAAGTTTTATTTTAGGTGATGGGACGTTTGTGTACCAAATATTGCTCATTTCTGAGATCTCCCCATCACTCTCCCCCTTCTCCATTTGTTTTTTTTTCTCCATTTAAACTGATCATTTTTCACATTTCCAAACAGATTTGCTTTCAGTTTTCTATCACCTCTCACCTTAAACTCTCTTCATATACTTTTAGTTTCCCATTTAAGAAAAACCTGTGATAGTTCCCATTTTGTGTCTGACTTATTTCACTTATTAGTATGGGATAAAATCCCAACTATTTTTGTTTTTGGTAAATGATATCATTGTTCTTTATATAGCAGATTTTATAGTAAGCAGAGTTAAACACAGGTTTTAGCACGGAATTACATTTGCAGGTTTATTATTTCTTAATTTGAGAGAGATTCTTATTGCCCATTAACTTTTTTTTTTTTCTGTCTTTTTTGAGACAGGGTCTCCCTATGCAGTTCAGACTGGCCTTGAGCTCACTTTGTAGCCCAGGCTGGTCTTGAACTCTCAACAATCCTCCTGCTTCAGCCTCTTGAGTACCGGGATTACAGGTGTGCACCACCATGTCCGGCCCCCATTAACTTTCTCAGGCTGAATTTCAAAGTGTTATCCTGCTGACTCAGATTCCAGGACTGCTGTGATTACAGGAATGCACCATGATGCTGACTGGACCCCACATGTTCTTTATCTAGGCATCTGGTGATGAACATCAGAATTCTAACCAGAACTTAGCTACTGTGAAATACTTCCAGAACTTAGACATTTATGTCCTTCTTTGATCAATATACTCTATGTTTTTGTTTTTGTTTTTTTTTGTTTGTTTTTCTCCGGTACCGGGAACCGAACTCATGACCTTGCGCATGCCAGGCAGGCGCTTTTGCCGCTGAGCTAAATCCCCAGCCCCTCAATATACTCTATGGATCACTGAAATTTTTTTATTTTATCTCAATTCAGAATATACCAAGAGAATCACTGAGCATCATGGCATATGAATAATCTGAAAACTCTGGAGGCTGATGTAGGAGGATTGCTATGAGTTCAAGGCCAGCCTGGGATACAGCATAAGTTGAAGGCCAACCTGAACTACAGTGTGAGACCCTGGCTCAAAAAGCAAAGAAAAAGAAGGATATATCCATGGAGCTATACTTAGATCTAATGGAAACATTTTCTTTGCTTATGAGATCTCTGTATATTATTATTGTTTCTATTTTATATTCCCACCAGAAATATATGAGGGTGACCTGAGATTTTTAAACATGAACATTTCAATATTCTGAAGGATGATTTCAAAGTACTTATCATGACATCACTAGCATTCATTTGCATTTTAAATATTGCTTCCATGTGAGAAATGGTCTAGATAATGAATGATTCACATTCAGATATATACATAAATGGAGGTTTTGAAGGTGAATTTCTGTCAAAATTTAAAATTTACTCATTTCATGCATGCCTACCTATAATACTTAAATGCAATCCCACACATTTCCATGATGTTGATCATGAATAAATTTTTATAATGATATAGCAGGTAAAAAAAAAAAATGATATAGCAGGTAGTATTATTTGTTGCATGGTATCAGTACTACTCATTTTCTATAATGAAACACATTTCTGTGGATTGACAGATAATACAAAGTCCACCTCAGTGCATCTCTGGATGGTTCTTCCCGCCCCCTCTGGTACCAGGAATTGAATTCATGACCTTGCACTTGCTAGGCAGGTGCTGGGCCGCTGAGCTGTATCCCCAGCCCTTGGATAGTTTTGTAAGTGAAAATTACCTTAGATTTCTTGAGCAAATTTTGTTCATTGCTTCAACTTGCTGGTTATCCCATGTTCTTCCTGTATTATAGACACAGAAAAACAAAAGTCAATATAACCTTATATCAAAATCTATCGAGTTCAGTTATAATCATGCTATAAGGTATAAAGGCCTGAGATATAGTTCAAAATTTTATAGCATTCAATTACATTAAGCTACATCAGTGAGCAATAATTAATGCTCTACGGGTGTATAAGTAAGAAAATGTTATCATCCTTACCTATAGCATTAACATTCATAAGTGTTTCCCACATCACATCTCTGTAGAGCTTCTTTTGGGATGGAGTCAGCAAAGCCCACTCTGCAGAGGTGAAGTTCACAGCTACATCCTCAAAGGTCAGTTTCTCCTAAAGAATGGCAAACTTCCTCAACTTCAGACACACAAACTGATATATCTCAGCTCCTCTCATAAAAGCATGAACTAGGGATTATTCTTTCCAATATTATCTGCATGTCTTGGTCATCAAACCCATGTGCACGCACATATTTTCACCCAGTAACTCTGATGCAAATGGAACACATTGTCAAAGCAACCGCAGAATAGTAGCGCCGTTTGTCCTGCAGGGTCCCCTCCATTGTACTTGTGCACTGTCTTTAAAGCAGAGCTCAAAAACGGAGCCTGGAAACCACCATGACAAAACACAGAACCAGAAAAACAACTAATGAATGGTTCCGATATACTCACTATAAATTATATCCCTTTCCACATCTGCTTATTCATAGCATTGAGTCCATGTTTCCTTGTACTTAGGTCATATTTACAGTCTTAAATCTGTTGTTATAGAAAAATATTTAACTGAATATTAAATAAGGTATGAGTAATTAAAAAGTTAACGAAAACAAAGTTTTATTGAGCAAGTCTACAGACAAGGAAGGTAGGGGAATAGCAGCATGTAAACTTATAGCTGAGGCACACCAAAGTATCTCCTGGTACCTTAATATAAAAAATACTAGTGTGGAATAAAGGCGGATAATGTGGGAAAAATATAAATAAAATATATGAAATGCAATGAAAATCAAGATACTGCAAAGTAACCAGTCAGCAAATACAAAACAAACACTTCAGCCCAATAAAATGGTACATGCCTATTCTCCCGGCACTTGGGAGACTTATGCAGGATTGTCAGGAATTTCAGGACTGTTATGAATTCAATGTCCAGCCTGGGTATATAGTATGGACAGTCAAGACTAAAAAGTGACACACTTCCTCAAACTCCCCAACAAAAATAAACATTTAAAGTAATACTGATTCAAACACAAATCACACCTTTCATCTGTTAAAAAATTGGAGCTCGAAGGTAATATTCAATACCTTATGGGCAATGTGACACCTTGCATAATATAATGAAAGATATACAGGGGCTGGGGATTTAAGTTCAGCGGCACAGCACCTGCCTAGCAAGCGCGAGGTCGTGAGTTCTATTCCCAGTACCAGAAAAAAAAGCCAAAAACCAAAAAAAAAAAAAAAAGAAAGATATACAAATTCCAAATTTCATACCAGTGTATGATTACTACAGAATGACAAAAGGATCTCAGGAAAGGAAGCAACCTTCAAAGGATCCACAAATAAATAGAATATTGACAAATGATTCAGATGATCTTATACATATCTGGAAGAAAGCACAATTTTTTCATTTGCATTTGGGGAGAAACAGGTATTTCCTTAGATATCTGGACTGTATACTCTTCTAGCCTATGTATATATGTTACCTATTGAAATGGGAAACATAAACTTAAATACCTTTAGAATATATAGTAAAAAACACTAAGGTAAAAAAAATTATTTCCTCAGAAGACAATGAAGTACCCATCAAATTTAAGGAAAGTGGGAGTTAAACAACAAAACATTTGCAGGGTGCACAATATAAAGATTTTGTATACAGAGTTAAGATCAGTGAACATAAATCTAAAAATTAACTGCAACATATCTGACTCAAGACAAACACTGAATTGAAAATGAAATCCAAATGGCACTTCTGAACAGCACTAAAGAAAATTGAAGTGGGGAAGAACAAAATAAACAAATTTGTTAGAATTGAGAATCAGGTGCTATATTCCACTCCTCTCCTTTACTATGGAGTTTCCCAAAATCCACAGACAAATGATTTCTTTCCAATGTCTAGAAAATACTCTGTGCTTTTCCTGAGAATAGACGTGATTCCTTTCAAGTGAAATTAAAAAGCCAGGAACAGTGTGACCAGTAGACTACATGAGACAGCCCTTTAGCCTTGATTCACACACCAGCCCTTGTGAACATTCACGAGAATCAAATAAATATGAGAAACCGCACAAAACACTTCTCTGTGCGATTCTGTAATACTTACTGAAAACTTAAAGCAAAGAAGATAAAAGAACACTCTCCATGGCAAACACACACGGTAACCTTTGGAGGAGTTGGAAAAGGAGGAAAGTACATTGATAATGCAAAAGCAACTTCTGACATGTAGGATTTATCACCTGGATGTTTTCATTTCTTGCCAGAGGCCCAATAGTAAAAATAGCTGAAAAGACCTGGGACACTTTCATTGTTATCATTAAATCCCACTAGAAAGTTTTGAGATTAAAATTTGCTCTAAATTATTTAAACAATAAATGTCAATACAAAGTACTGATTAATTTAAATCTGCTTATCTGCCTTTAAACATGAAATGACAAGACATTTCACATTTTTGGTAGCAACGAGCAAATATGAGTCCTACAAATCCACAACAAGGAGTATTGGAACACTATGTTGACCAATAGCAGAACAGGTCAGACAATTAGGAGAACAGTTGAGATTTTCAGAAGAACTGGTCAGATTTTTGGGGAAAGAAAGAACAGGTATGAAAGCTGATCAATATCTAAATAGCTGTTATGGAGACATGCTCTGACCACCTGGAGAAGAGGGGTCATTATGTGGTCACTGATGAGGACAGATTCAACAGAAAACTACACAAAAAGACATACCAGTGTAGAACTGATTCAACAAATTCTAATGAAGCTGTATTAACTAGACAATATTCAATACATACCTAAGTAAGTAGAGAATTACAGTGATCACATAATGATAAAACCAGAAGATTTTAAAAATTACATTTCTTACTACATACCCTACAGAACAGTGGCACAAACTACATAAGCAAAAGCAGGAAGCAAAAGGAAAAAGCATATATTTACAATGATATATTTGAGGACTCAAAACAACTCCATTAGTAACTGAGAGCTAAAGAAGGCAGAGTATTCACTAAAGTCAAATATAACTCAAAAAGACCATATTTACAAGGGATTTATCAGATGGATTCTATCCAATGTTTTATCTCATAAATATGGAGCACACTGTCTTCTCAAAAATCCAGAAAATAATCCCCC